TGTTGTCACCAACAGCGCACTCGCTTATGTCACTGTCATGAGACATTCTCGCAAAAAATCACGGTTTTAGTAACGCAGTAACGCAGCGTTCCTACGGGAAAGTAACGGTAATCTAATTACCGTTTTTGCAATAGTAATCCCTTACTTTACTCGTTACTTGAAAAAAGTAATCAGATTACAGTAACGCGTTGGAGACATGCCAGAGTTCACTTGCCAGCAAGTAAAGATTTGTTGATACTGTTAATAAAGTTTACGATGTATGAGAGGCACAGAAAGATGTAAACATAAACATTTGTGTGTCGATCCTAACAGTGTGTCACTCTGACTTTTGATTTAGACACAAACATGAAAAGAGAACACCAAAGGTTTTGAAATACTGGGCAGCATGGTGTTCAACACTGTTGCCTCACAGCAAGAAAATGCTGTGTTCTAATCCAGCGTGTGACCGGGGCCTTGCTGTGTATAGTTTGCATGCTCTCCACATGTCTGCATGGTGCCATACATTACATTACTTAATATAGCCTAGCTTGTATTATTCAGAGTATTCCTTTGTGTTCTTAGTGTTAATATCTCATCCTTGTATATAGATTCACCCCATCCCCCTGAGCCTGTATGTGAGTTTGCCTTACTAGTATGGGGTGTGCGAGAAGGCGAGCAGGTTATTTCAAATATCCCACGCTTTGGTTACCAGTGCACATGAAAAGAGAAAGACTTCACTGAGTGAAAAATGGATAAAGATACAAGCTGGTGATGATCCAGTGTAGCTGGTCTCAGGTGATGAAGAAACAGCCTGATCACCTTCTCTACAAAATCAAGATGAGTTTAAAAACTAAAATTTAGTTTTTCAAGGTATGTATGCTACTTTATATTTAAAGTGCTCATATTTCAACTGAATGCTGTTATGTGTATGCATCTCTACACATATTATAGGAAAATTTATAATAATCCACAGCAGATCTGATCAAAAGCAAAATGTCTGTGAAGGTTCTCAGTCATCCAGGTCATCGTAGTCAAAGGAGCTTGCAAAGAAAAGCGTCTGGACTTCTTTAAGTTGCTTGAAGACGTTTCACCTCTCATCCGAGAAGCTTCTTCAGTTCTAAGGTCAAATGGTGGAGAGTCCCAGAATAAACCTAGTGGGAGTCCCCCACAGGACAAAGATGGTCGCTCACAGTGGACATAGATGGCTTCTTTCACTCCTCTTTCAACCATCTGTCCTCTCTGTCCAAAATGTGAACATTGGCATCCTCGAAAGAGTGTCCTTTATCCTTAAGATGCAGATGGACTGCTGAGTCTTGTCCTGTGGAGGTGGCTCTTCTGTGTTGTGCATCTTTGAACAGAGGCGGGGGTTTACGACACCAACTCTCTGCCATCTATAATCCAGTTTTGAGATCCCTTCCCAGACGCCTTAACGCCCACTCACATCCTGGGCCATCTGACCTCAGGAATTCGCATGATAAGGTGGGGCCAGGTTTCACAATGAACACACCCGAAACTCTGGCTGATTGGGACCCACACCCAGTTTCACACCTTGGCTCAGGCGATTAGAGGATCATCAGGGGGTCCTTTTGTCCCTCTGTGGGGGGACTCCCACTAGGTTTATATCTGGGACTCTCCACCATTTGACCTTAGAACTGAAGAAGCTTCTCGGATGAGAGGTGAAACGTCTTCAAGCAACTTAAAGAAGTCCAGACGCTTTTCTTTGCAAGCTCCTCCATCAAAAGCAAAACTTTGTTCTTTCTTGCTGTCTTTCAATGTTAAAGTATAAAACCCCATTTAATTCAATATATTTTCAAGTCATATTCCACCACAGTTTTCTCAGTATTACATTTTGAATTTTTATTTATTTTATTTTTAGCTTAAAAATTAAGAAACACTAAGAAGTGTTAAAGTATACTTTAACACTTCTTAGAAGGGGGCCTAGTACAATACACACACTCACAGATTTGTGATTAGTTCAATTGTTTTATTTACAGTGTGCTGTCAGACTGCAATATTCATGTTTACTTTACTGCTCAGCTTGTTCTGTCACTCAGCTCAGCTGCACCATTATTTCTCTTGTGCTGGGGGTGGGTGGTGGGGCATGATTAGACAATTGTCATATGCTGTGTCTACCAGCTTCCCCTGACAACCCACTGCCCCACTCTTCCCCTGCAGCTGAGCATTAGATATCAGTGTAACACACTGCCTAGAATACAGTTATGTGACATCATCATCAATGAATATGAACTAGATGGAAGCGATCATGGCTTTTAAATTTTTTGCTGACTTTGACTACATGTCTGCTTTTACTTATTTCTGTTGCACTCTCTCTCTTTGCCATCTTCATCCAGCTTTCTCCCTTTCTCTCCCACATGATCCCCTGCTTCAGTCTTTCTACTGTCACCAAAAGTTAAATAGAACAGTGAAACACTATTTACAAACTAATAAAGTTAGAAACTGTTCTGTTTCAATTCATAACAGTATTCAAACTGAATACAGGCTGCTCTTGGCCACTGACAGGCAGCAGTCTTTTGATTTGTTGTCACTTGGCTCTGTAACTGTACTGTAAACAAACGATGAAACCAAATTTGACCAGAATGGGAATAGAGAACTTTAACAAACTAAGACAATAACCTCTTGTGATAATGGCCCATACTGTTTTTCACACCATGGCTGATAAATAAATAAAATAAAATGTATGTAAGTAAATATAATACTTTTTGTTCAGCGAGATAACACTATATTATTTATTTTTAAAAATATAATTATCCAATATTTGATGTGTTCAGTTAATACTAATGATACACGTATCAAAGTTGACTTATAAAACAATACAGGAACAGTGAATAAATGAGGATCACTACTGTCACTATTTATTGACGTCCCTGGGGTTAAAAAACTTTAAAAGAGAGAAACTATTAGTGAGATTGTCTGATATAGACATATATGTTACTAATGGAACTGTAGGAATGTCAAATATTTAATATAAAATGTAAATGTTTACATGAAAACTCAATGGTGGTCAGCTCATAATAACATATTAACATAAAACATAACACGGATTATTAATACATGGAAATGAATGGCAGACTTCATGAGTTAGTTAAAGAAAAAAAAATAAAAAGAAAAAAATAAAGAAAAATAATAATAATAGCACAAAGTTAATGCAGAGCTGTGAGCCAAAGAGGCAAGAAAAACAACACAGCACAGAAATAATATATCACAGTACAATTTGTACCATTAGCTGTTTCCATAATTTTATGAGCGGGGTTTATTTGAAATTTTGTTTATTGGAGCAAAATTAAACAAAATTTCATTCATTAAAGGTTTATAAAGATTTATAAAGATTTACTCTGGAGTCATGTTTACATCTAGTAAAAAGTCTCAAAGAAATTTTCTATTAAAGGTTTTAACATGTTTATTAGGGGTGCAACGATACACAAAATTCACGGTTCGGTTCGGTTCGATACTTTGGTGTCACGGTTCGATATTTTTTCGATACAAAAAAAATGTTCATGCCTTTTTAATTTGTCATTTATTAAAATTATAAATATATATTTTAACTCAAAAGTACAGTTTTTAAATTTAACCCTAACCCTTGTGCGTGTTTTTTATTTTGACAGCGAATGCGCACCTGCGGACCACTTATGTGCAGCCCTGGTTATTTAGCTCGTCATATTGCAGCCACAGAAATTTTTTGTCCATGAAACCATAAAGCTGCACTTTCTTTTTGCCTTATAGTCTGATTTGTCATAACTTTTCCGTTTTGTGGTAAGCTTTTCTTTGGCTGTCACTTCTTCACCCTGACCTGTCTTATTTGGCTCAGCAGAACTGAAATGCTTTTACACACACACACATAACGCTCAGCGATTCTCTGCGCGATCAACCTCTCACATGTTTAATGCTGCGGGAGATTTCACTTGTCATGTTTGCATAGTAAGCTAACGATTAATAAGACGATGTCAGAGGAATTGGTGCACAAATTATCATCACTCACAGATCAGTGCTGTCGCTCTCTATACACAGTTCGCACGATTGCAAAGTGAAAGCAAAAAAACAAGCGCAAATTCAAACGCGATTTCAATATGTCACATATTGACAGTGGCTCACCGATGCCAATGACATAATTACCCAGCTACATTTCTGAAAGAATGCAAAAGCATTGACATATATTTTCTTCCTACAATAGCCCGACGGGCAGGGAGAGATAGATTTTGGTAGCCCGACTGAAAAAATCGCTAGCTCCGGGACGTCGGGCTAGCGATATTGCGAGCCCTGTATCTGATTGAGGAATCACTCATCTTTGGAAAAGAGAGTTTATTACAGAGAAATGCTCTTTCCAAAATAAAAGCTATACTATACGCTTCTTCTGGGCTATATTCTCAGCAGCATATTAAACATATCAGGTCCCCATAAGGAGAATCATGTGCTAACAGCTGTCTAAATGACTCGGCTAAAGTTAGTAGCATGCTTGTTGTTTTTGTCTTTGCACTAGATGATGTAAATGTGCAGTCATATTCGTTGTGTTCCCACTAGTGCTTTCAGGTTAATCTCGTTGAAATGACCTTAACGCCACAACACGGCAAATCTCGTTCGAGCTACCGCCGATCGCCCCGTGCATGGGGCTAGACGGCCAACACGTTAACGAGCTAACTGCGCTAACACACTAGTTCCCACCCATGTAATTGAGCATTGCGTGGCACATCCAACATACTGTTTTACTTTAGTCCATGACTCGCTTACCTTCAGGGTCATACGTCACATGAAAACCAAAATAATTCCAAACGCCAGATCTGAATGAGGGTGGGGGAGGTCCATGTTGCAAGGAGAGCTTAACTTCTGTCTCGCTAGCTTGCCCTGCGCTCTTCCTTCTGACGATGCTGTCTGTGTTGAGCGCTCAGTGGATCTGCGCTCTGACAGTGCAGCCTAGGCGGAGTAGTCGAACGCAGATTCACTGAGCGCTCAACACAGACAGCATCGTCAGAAGGAAAGTTGATAAAATAAATTACAAATTTGTATTGTTCGATACATATGCGTACCGAACCGAAAGCACTGTATCGAACGGTTCAATATCGATACGAATATCGTTGCACCCCTAATGTTTATGTACCTCATATACAGCCTTATACCTCAGTAATCTAATCTGACTTCTCTCTGCTCTGCCTGGTGTTCACTGACTTCATGTCACTGGGAGAGCGTGTCTCCTCTTCCTGGAAGGCTCTCCAGCACATTCAGGATGGATTTTCGTATTTCAGCCTTAAAATCTTGTCTCAAGAAGACATACAGCAGTGGATTCAAGCAGCAGTGAAGAACGACCAAATTTTTGGCAACAAAGATCCCAATTGAATGGCATAGTGAATTTTTTCATTTGGTGGAATAAATACTATCAGCTGAATGATAGGGAGTCCAGCCCAGAAAAAAGGCAACAATAATGGAAGCAATAACATTGTATAACTGCTTTTAGTTCTATAAAAAAGTAACCTGTATGGACTGCTGTGATTCATAGATTCATGCAGTCATGTATCAGATTAATGCTATGGCTAGTAAAAAAGCCCTAAAGCATTTTGAGATATTTTTGAAACATTTAGAATCATTTTTAAGATAGTTGTCACAATTGTCTGCCATTTACAGTTTAATTATTTGGTTTCTTATACCTCAGTATTCAAATCTGAGCTATTTTTGTTTTGACTGGTGACCACTGACCCTGTGTAAGTGCGAGTGTGTGTCTCCTCTTCCTGGAAGACAGTCTCCAAAACATTTCGGATGGATTTGCGGACTTTGTCTTTAAAATCATGGCCTATGAACACATACAGCAGTGGGTTGAAGCAGCTGTTGAGAAAGGCCAGACTGGTGGCCAGAGGCATCCCGACACCAATGACAAGGTCTAATGTGTTGCTCTGAGTAGCAGACGTGAATTTCACTAGTTCAATTACACCAATTATGTAAAAGGGAGCCCAACACAGGAAAAAAGTGACAATAACAGCAGTGACAATTTTAAACGTGCGTGTTGATTGGCTGGCCATGGTGCGGTTTCTCCTCAGATGATGGATTAGGACAGCATAACAGGACACAATGACAGTGAAGGGAACTGCAAATCCCAGGAAGAGACGAGTGATAGTCATGGCTAGATGACGAAACCGAATCACAGATGGTGCTGTATAGTTATCAGAAAGAGCATAGTTGGTGAAACAGAGGATTTGGTTTTCAGACATTTTCTCAGTGTCCCTGAAGATGAAGTATGGAGCACTGAGAATCAAAGCAACCACCCAAACACACAGACTCACATAGGATGCTTTGCGTACATTTCGGTGGTTCTGAGCCCAGACAGGCCACACCACAGACACACATCTGTCCACACTGATCACCACCAGAATGTAGACACTGGCAAACATGTTCAGAGAGCTGATGGTGGTGTTCAGTTTGCACATGAACTTGCCAAAAGGCCAGTGGAAACCTGAAGCTATGTAAGTCACACTGAGGGGAAGAAATGCAGTGAAGAGGAAGTCAGCCACAGCAAGGTTGAGGTACCAAACTGTGTTAACAGTTTTCTTCATCTTGAACCCGGTCACCCAGATAACCACTCCATTCCCGAGCACACCGAGGACAAAGGCCACGGAATAAAGGATTACAGACATTGTGTTTAAGGACTGTTTCAGCCCATCATACTTGTCACCATACACAGAGTCATTTTTATCAGGTGCAGCAGTTGTATTAATTTGATCGAAAGAGTTGTTGGTCATCTTCATCAATGTCTTCAGATCTGCATAGAAAAAAACATGAATTTATGTAAAAGTCATTTTTGATATTGATAATAATTCTGTCTTCACATATTGCACAGAAATATAAATTAATTACTCTTAAATTAATGTTTAATTTATAGTTAGTTATGAATCTTAGACAATAAAGGCTCAAAATGAACAGCAAATATAATGCATTTAGCAGTGAAGGTCATCACTTGTAGTTGAGAGCACTGTTTTCAGCTCAAATTAGATTATAATCCATCCATTCAGTGTTAATGGCTACTTCAGTTCATGATTGCACTACTGTGGCAGCAACATTCACAATGTGATATGAAAATTCTTAACTGGCTGCTGAGCATAATGTATTTATGTACTAGTCACAGTTATCAGGAAACTGAAGAGTGTCCAAATCAGCAATGATGTTACAACACTAAAAGAGTATGTCACCGTAATTTCCCAACAATTGAACGCAAACATGAAAAAATAAATATCTGACCAAGAACTTCAGAAAAATTTAAATTATTCTTAAAATTTGCAGTCCTCAAAAAAAAAGTATAAATTTTTGTTTGCTGGAACTGATTGCAACAGAATTAGAAGAAAAACAATTCAGACTTGTGGAATGCAAAGGAACAACAAATGCTATATTGATAAGCGTCACAGAAAAAGCAGTTAAACTTCAAAAATATCTGTACTCATGTTTTATTGATGACATGAAAGCCTTCAGCACTATCAGCTATAAAAATCTAATAGTTATTATTAGTTCTGAACAATGGCAAAAAAAGACCTATTATGAAGAACATGCACTTGGAACAAACTGTGGCAATCAAAAGTGACAAAGAAATTTTCACTTCTGGTTTCGAAATTTGTCAAACTGAGAAGTGGCGTAGGGCAAAGTTGTGTGTTGTCAGCTGATCTGTTTCCTCTATACAGTGATTATATCTTGCGAGATTAAAGGAGTGCCAGGCATTGTGGTTGATGGGCACCTCATTAATAACCTGAGATGTGCAGACGACACTGTAATCAGTTCAACATCTACAGAAAACAAATAGTTATTGTATATAAGAAGAGTGAAGAAGTGGGACGGACATTAAGTCCCACATTCATTTTCTTGAATCTCAAGTAAACTTAGACAATGATCATTTCCAAAAAGAAAGACAATATAGTGCAACATCATACTAAAGAATTCCACACAACAAGGCAATAAGTTTAAATATTTGGGTATTACTGTGAGTAATGAAGATTGTTACATAAAATCAAGATTTGGATTGCAAAAGGAAAGAAAGCTACCTCTGCAAAGATTATAGTTGATTGACAAATTTCCTTCAAGACAAGAAAGAGAGTCCTAGATGTCTACATCACACCTATCTTCATGTATGGAAGCAAAGAACGACCGACTAATGAAGAGGTTTTAAAATGCGCACACACCAAAAGATCATTAAATAAAACATCAGAGAGAGACAAGCAAGACTCTCTGGGACAAGTACTGAAAAAGGACAATTGGAATTAAATCTGGAAAAGATTGAAGGGACCAAAGACAAGGCAGAAGGCGAGAAACCGTCACTGGCAGAATACAAGACCGAAGGAAGAAAACACCAAATGAGTTGCTGGACTGTGTGAGAGAGAGGGCATCTAGTCTAAACGCCAATGCCATCCAATAAGACACTTAAGAAGAAGAAGAAAATATGTATGGCTCTTCTGTCAGGTGTGGGTGGATGTGCAGTAGAAGAATATCAGAACAAACTGTGACACATTAATACAACCTAGACTAAACTATGTGTATTTAATATGCTCAATTAAACTTAATATGCTCAATTTAAAAAGATCATTTAAATTATAGGTGATATTTTTCAGCTTTGTTGGCCACTTGTTGACTGACCCATGAAAAGTAGTTTCTCAGTTTACTAAATAAAATAACTATTAAAGGGTTTTTGACAATCCAATCACAGGTTTACCTAATCGTCCATTTGATGTACTAAACGTTGGGCAATTACATCCATCATAATGGTCATGATGGCTGTGTGGGTTGGGGTGAGAATGTGGACTTTAATACTCACTGTGCAGTTGTTGAGCAACACTATGTCAGTGGAATTGGAAAAAACCCCAAATTAAATTACAGCTTGTTTTTCTTCAGTGAAAAAGACCTTTACTTAACCTCTAGGTCTGACAGATGATAACAAACTTCTGCAGTTACTCTAACTGCTTGCACCATCCTATATTTGGCTGCCTACATTTATGTCTGCTTGCAGCTTGGTTTAGATGTATTAGTCAACACATTTTGACGAATAAAGAGGTCAAAGAAGTTATAACTGTGCAAAGAACCTTACCGGCAATTACTTTAAAAGTCACTACCCTCATGAAAGTAATGCTGTCTCTTAAGTTCAGTGGTTTAACTTAATTTTAAGAAATGAGCCTATTTGATTATTTAACACTACACTTCCAGTGAATAACTATCCCAGCAGTCAGTGTTTCTACGTTATGCGATAGTGTAAAAAATGAATTTCCTTCTTTTAATTTTTTTTATATATGTATAAATATATATTCCATCCATTCATGCATGCATATAGATATTCAGGGAACTGAATTTTTGGGGGCGGAATCTTGAAAATGTATTAATCATGAGTGACTTAGTAATTAAAAACTGGGAAAGTCTTAAGTGTCAGAGGTTTATCTATTAAAAAGTAAATACATGATGATTTTACAATCGTACAACAGCAAAGTAACAAAGACGGCATACCTTTAGTAAAGCTCTCTTGTTGGTTGTTGAAGAATCTTCTACAGATGAATGCCTCATCAAACCCTGACAGGTTATTATAACTGAGACTAATTTGTGGGTAGTATTTTGCCATTTATCACAAGGCAGATCCACCGGAAGTTTGCAAAAGTTTGCAGACAAATGAAAGAGAAAGAAAAAATGAGAGACAGCACTGTTGCATTGTCTTCAGCATGGCCTTAGTATCACTATCTTATTTTGCCATTTTCCTCCAGTTTCTTTCTTAACTCTCTAAGGCAGTGGTTCTCATACCTTTCACAATGAGTATCACCTCATGACATATATGGCTCTTGTAGTACCACCCTTATGACCGACATTAAAGTACAGCAGTACACCACAAACAGTTCACACGAGACAATTTTATTTCTTATATAAATGTTATTTATTTTAACTGTCATAAACAGGATGTGACAAGAGATAATACCACTTGTCAAATCCTAATGCCACTAGAGGGAGCTCACATACCACAGTGTACGTGTACCACAGCTTGAGAACCAGTGCTCTAAGGCAGCTGTGCTATGAAACAATCTGAGGAAAACCAAGGTATCTCCACAGTCAGTGGCATATATTATAAAACAGTACAGATTGTAAAACATGAACCTTTCAGCTCATTGTACCTACATTCCTAATGGGTTTCTTTCTTTCTTTCCTTGTTTTTACTCAAGAGCATTCACACTGAATTAGGTTACAGACGTGGGTTACAGAATAATTATTACCTCTATAAAGTCACCACCTATAAAAAGTCTTTAAATGTTATAAAGCATAAAGAAAAGACTTACCAGATCTCTAGGAAAGTACAACTGAATTGGGCAGAGAAAGAACAAGGTGTTTAATGAATCCGTTGGTGTGGAAGTACGGAAAAGTTTTCAAAGGAAGAGGTTGTTAGGTTGGCTCAGGTTTACTGATTTGGAGATAAAGTTAAGGGGGTGAGGCTGAGATGGTTTTAACACGTGCAGAGGAGGTGGAGGTGGATAACTAAAGGGACCAATAAAAGAAGAAAATCGAGCATTGAGCAACAGAAATCAGAATGAAAACTGTTTTTCCCTGTCTATCAACATCCTGTTTTGCAGTCTTGTTTAACTCTACTTCTTACTCTAAAAGTCAACTGTCCACTTCTTGTATTTTTTCATGTCATGGAATAATTCCATGACATTGCAAGAAATTGTAAAACTGCTTGTGGAAACACCTTATGTGTTGTGATCAGAATGTAAACTGTAGACCTACAATATGAGTGGGAAAGCAGTTAAGCTAAAAATATGTTATTGATCGAAATGTTATTCACAAAAACAACTAAAAACATTTTGTCAAGTATTCATAAATAAGTTTAAATTATATGGTAATATAAAATATATACCAAAGCTGCTGAGTTTGTTATGATTTTGTGATTCATTATTTTGGATTCAATAGATTTAAGGACTATCAGCTGTGTACCAACCTGACTTCTGCACAACACAACTGATGGAGCTCATCATGAAGCGCATTGAGAGTAGACCAAGAGTTCACAGCACTGTCAACAAAGCAAAGAGTTGCTGCTTTGAGTAATCTAAAATATAAGACATATTTATCAATTTATTTATCATATATTTAATGTCTTCAGTGTGTATCTACAATGTAGAAAGTGAAAATAACGAATTACATGAGAAAGTTTGTTCAAACTAATGACTGGTAGTGTATATATGAAGCAATCCAAGAAATATAAAGTCAAACACAAGCAGGCAGTATTCAGTATGACATGAAAACTAACCCAAACCCAATATGACAGGGAAAGTAAAACTACAAAAAAGACACAACAATCAAAGTAGAGCAGAAAGTCACTGACAAACATTTAGAGTAGACTCTGGTACAATACAATTCTATTAGTATCTACTCAGATTGACTTGACATGGTTCACCATGGTTTTCAGGTTTTTCCATTAGGCCATAGAACCTGATACCAGGTGCATTTTTAGAACCTGCTCGGCTGGGGTTCCAAGCGATCCGACCAGGTACTAAATTGTGACGTTGTCAGACTGCATGTCACCGATTGGCTGGCTAGTAGTTTTCACTCGATGAGTCATGAGAGCATTTTGCTCACAAAAATCAAAACTTTTTTTAAAGCCCATTTTTAAGTTTATTCATAGTCTTCGTAATTTCTGAGATCATTCCACAGTTTATTGATATAGCCTTTTTTTTTCATTTGCCCATCTTTACTTCTTCTGCCTATTTAAGGTAATCTTGTCTCAGTCTTGTTACTGACTTGTTGCCAGTTAACCCAATTAGTTGCAAAATGTTTCCTCAAGTGGTTTCTTTTTAGAATGACTTACTTTCCAGCCTTTTGTTGCCCTGTCCCAACTTTTCTGTTGCTGCCCTTAAATTAAAAAAAAAAAAAACAACCAATTTTTGTCATGAATAGTAAAATGTCGCTTATCATAAATTAAGTTATCATAAATTAATATCTCTAGAAAATTAAAACCGCCGCCCAAGCATACAGATCACTAATAATTATAGCTCACTAATGATTATTTACTTTCCTTGACCGCAAGTAAAGACATGTTGATTCATAGAGTTCATGGAATTTTACGATTCATGAGAGGCACGGAAAAATTAGAATATAAACAAGCGTGCTGATCCACACCCGTGTGCACACAGGTGTACACACGGGTGTTCACAGACACAAAGTACACCCTTCTTGGCTGTTACGTCAAAGCACATTGTGCGCTGTCAATCTTGCATACTGCACAATAACATGCAATATTTAGTATCTACTGTTATTTACTGTTAACTAGTTTATTGTGATGGTGTTGTATTTAGTATGTTGCTCTTTTTTGTTTGTTTTCTCTTCTGTTTTTTCTTGTCTCCATACAGGTGATCCAGGTGTTTTGTTTGCTTTTCTTTTTTTTTCTTCCCCCCTTTCTCACCATCTCTTCTCTCCCTCTCATTCTTTCATTCTTTCTCCCTCTCCTATCCCCAGTCATGTCTGTCCCGTCTGTAACAACCGAAAATCAAATCAAATAAATGCATAATTATAATAAAGGTCAATCAAATGGACCAATATGGCAAGGCCATGATGATGCAATTGGTAAAGTAAATCTGCTTGGCAACTTTCTTAGCCTTCAGACAACAATCCTGATGGCTAAAGATCCAAACGGTACAGGCAAAAAAAAAAGAAAAGAATATAAACATTTGTGTGCCGATCCTAATAGTGGTAACATATCTCACAGATGTCACTGTGAATTTCAATTTGGAAATAAACATGAAAAAGGAACACCAAAGGTTTCAGGAAATAACAGTTTTGAAATATGGGGTAGCATGATGGTTAACACTGTTGCCTCACAGTAAGAGTCCTGTTTTCAGATCGACTGTGTGACCGAGGCCCTTTCTGTGTGGCGTTGAACCATGAGAAGTTGGTATTCATAAAACTATTAGAAACAAAAATAAGACAATGCAGTTGATTGTTTTCTTTTTTTAAAATGTGATTTTAATAAAAATGGAAGTGTAACTGCCTGTCCTTTGACTCAAAGTGGCATTTGTTATGTGTATCATAATAGTTGTTGCTGCCTGGAATTGGGTGAGAAAGTTCAGTTCAATAGTCACCGTGTAGCAGCTGAGCAAATGTACGTTAATGAATGTAAAACTAAATTATGATTCCCATCAACTAAGAATGAAATAAAGAAACAAAATGCCCATTTCTTATCCACTAGATCTTACAGAGTTCAACCAAAACCAAAACTATATCATGAACTACCACAGTTACTCAATACATGTGGCTTCTTGATCCATGTTGTTTTGCATGTCTGTATTTATGTGTGTGTGCAAGTTAGTTTAGCCTGTATGAATTCCCTTCTCATAGTCACATGGATATGTAACCTTTTTTTTTCACTTGTTTACTTTACGAAGAACTTTGAACTCTCAGGTTTTGATTAATCCCCTATTCAACAAGTTTCCGGTCCGATTTATGTGCAAACTAGATAATAGGTGTTTTGTTATATATGTTTGAGTAGTAGTTATATATTTCTTGCCTTATCTATTTTTGAAGAGGTTTTTCAAGCGGCCATGCAAAACCTGTCTATTTACACATGAGACACTATTAGAAACACATTTCAGTGCAGTTTCAGTGCAACTCCTTGGTGTGAAGGGGGGTGTTGAAGGTAGACTGGTACACCCTGACACTAACACAGAGCATAACCAAGGAGCGGCTGCCTTAGGAATGTGTGGGGGTTATGGGAGGATGGTGCTCCTGTATTTGTGATACCGCACCAAGGTACAGAGACTTTAAGGCTGACCCCACCCTAGAGGAAAACATGTAGAGATAAAACCTATCCATAACAGCTGCAGAACTAGGGTGGACTTTTCTCATACAGAACAAGACCCCTGACTGGAGGACAGGTACGATTGCCATGCGGAAAGGCCACAAGGAGGACTAACCAGGGAGGGCTAAAGTTTAAACCATGGCCTCTCTCCATTGATAGCCGATCACAAGTATTTTCTGTTTTGAATATATCATTTTAGTTACGAATTGTACAGGACTTCTGGGTGTGCACACTGCTTGACACTGAGAAGTCCACAGTCCTGGGGTATCGAAAAACATGGGGAATTTGTTTATTTCACAGCTAGTTGCTAGTGAATACAATATGCTGCCAGATCCCAGAATACACGTGTATGTTACAGTCACAACTTTTCTTTAACAGTCTCAGCATTTTTCCTTCCTTGTTTTTATGGGTATCTCTCCAAAACATGCACTAATCACAATTGTTGATTCTCTGGTATATTTAATAATAATAATAATAATAATAATAATAATAATAATAATAAATAATTCTTGGGAATTCTGTATTGCTAGCAATGCAATGGATCATTATTTCACAGGGGAGTATTATCAAGATGTGACAATAGCAAAAGTGGCCAGTAGGTGTCACTGTCAAGCTTGGTTTCAGATTGTTTTGAAACTTTTGCACAATAGCTTTGAATGTGTCATTTTTTTCACAAAGCCTTGTTTTACTCATTACTGGCAAACACTGAAGTTGCTCCAAGAACAGGTGCATGATCACTTACAGATAAGTGGGGAGCAGTGTTGGTCAAGTTACTTGAAAAAAGTAATCAGTAACTAATTACCAGTGTTGGGTAAGTTACTTTAAAATAGTAACTTAGTTACATTACTAGTTACTTCTCTCAAAAGTAACTCAGTTACTTCAAGTTACTCGTTACTTTCAAAGTAACTAGTTACTAGGGAAAGTAACTTTGGTTTTACTCAGAATTCTCTTGTTAATGTGTTCTTCCATAACTTTGCCAGTCTTCTAGCTTGCTTACTTGCCACAAGTGCACTGTGCCACCTACCAATAGAAAGGAAAAGATAATGTGCATATTTCCACGAGAGAAATCCCACGCCTGGACCGTCATTGACTGCTGCCATGATTCTAGCCTACGTCACAGGTCATGTGCGCCTTTTACATCCAACACAAAAACTGCAGTCGTGGTGCTTTCGATTGTACTCAGAACTCGGAAATTCTGCCTTCTGAATAGGAAGATGTAGGTAACACCAGACTGCAGATGAGCTGCATACAGGGCTGGACTGGGACAGAAAATTGGCCCGGGCATTTTGACTAGAGACCGGCCCACCATTATAGGAAAAATCATAAAGCCTTTGAATGAAAATAAACACTGTTGTGACAGTGATGTATCACTGTTCTGATGGTATATATGCATCAATCTATCAATCGTTTGTTGTAAGATTCAGATAATTATTTTTTTAAAAGTGAGACATTTTAAATGAGAATAAGAAAGAGTATTTCTTTGTGCCCCCCTCTCCCTGTTAATGCCCTACCATGCCCCCCTGGCAACACTTTGCTAGACCCGCCCCTGCACAGTTACCAGCTGTCAGCTACTAAAAAAGGATCCTGGTGTTATTTGTCTCTCAGAAACAGTTCATAACTTCCCTAACTCATTCATGTCACCTAAAAGGTAAACCTGTTTCTCCATCACCTGTTCAGCTCTGATGATCAGTAAGGACATCTCCTGGTTTCATCTTCATGTTTCCCTCTCACCAGATAACCAAACCATATCATGACCAGCAGCTTTTACAGCTGTGGCTCCAGCAAACATCAGCTGATACTAGAAATTAATATTAAATAAATTCTAACAACAGCTGATCAAGCTTAAACGTGCTGCTGTTGTTTAGCGCGACATCCGCTGGTTTCCTCTTTCTGGCGCAAAGTGGCGATAAACAAACAAGAGAGACGATCAGCTGATCATTGATCAGTTTCATGATTGAAGTAGAAACGGAGAGGGAGGGGGGAGAATGAAAGAAGAAGAGGCAGCTGTGCAGCAAAGACACAGAATAACTCCAGCTTTGTGCTTTTTCATTGTAGCTGAATCTCGGGACAAACTGTTCCTTTTCACCTCAATAAGAAACGCGTAATATTTTCTCTGAATACCAGACGGGACGGTTGGCAACTCTAATAACTTATGAACAAAATAAAGTTCAACATCATTAACTTCATAGCACCACCCAGCTGTATAGAAACTCCGTCATGCTAGCTAGCACGCAGTACGGAAAAAGTCAGAATAACGAAAATAAACTCCACCTAAACTTGGTTCATATCTGACCCAGAGAGACTGCAGGTCATAACTTCTTACCTGAAGTTCAGTTCACACTTGGACCGGCGGCCGCCTCGGGTCTCTTTTCCTTCTGCGTCCCTTTTCCTTCATCCACCTGCTGCCTCCACCACTTGCTAATGTTACTGAATCTGTGGAAGCTCCGCGATAGCCACCACACGAAGTAACGAGTAACGAGCCTATCTAAATCCCAGTAACGAGTAACGCGTTCCTGATTTTGGCATAATAACTAGTTACCGTGCTCGTTACCACAATAATAACGTAGTTACTGTAACGTGTTACTTAATAACGCGTTAGTCCCAACACTGCTAATTACTGATTAAGATATATAGAAAAGGATTCAAAGCAAACTGATCAGAGTGTTAATGATACTACTCAGAAACGTTTTTGTAAAGGACTCTGTGAGATAACGCAGTTATTTTGTATATTCATAGACAGAAAACAAAGTAACCACGTGGGTTAACAGTGTGATTTGATGTTGTGGTTTTTGTTACGAGAAAATTGTGGAGAAAAAGATATAAGAATGTGTACATGAGCATAAAGGACAAATACGGAAATTCTGTTTAACAAAGTGAAATAAAGGAAGCAGAACTCACATCTCCCGTATCTACCTTTTGTATATAAATCAGAGCCACCTGAAGGCAGTTTTCCTCTTTAGACTGCTGCCCTTTAACACTGAAGCATTTATATAAAACAGCTCCCTCTGCTGGTATATGTAATGTGTTTTCTGTGATTTTAATGATTTCTCATCAAATGAGTTGTAGAACTAGCTGTTATGTTCCCCTAAAAGGGTCCAGGCGATTAGGGAAAGTAACAAAAAGTGTCCAGGTCGGAAAAAGAGGCAAAATGATTCAAGAGTTTTATTAAAGTTTCTATTAATAACTCAACTAAAAGAGATGGACAAGCCACTATCACCATTTAAAGAAACAAAACAAAACTCAAGCGTCGGTCAGTAAACTGAAAAGTAAGTCAGAAAAGGGTTAGTAACCAAACACACTCCTCTCCACCAAGCAGGAGCAAACAATCACAAGATTCAGCTCACTAGCTGCAACCACCAAACACTCACACAGCTCACTAGGTAAAACCCCTCACATGGCACTCTGGCACCAGAGCTTACTCGCCTTTCTCTGCCCTTAAATACCTTTAATTGCTGATGTGAGTCAGCTGTACAAAAGAAAAAGGTGGCACCTAAGGCAGGAGAGACGTGTGACAAACGATACTACCAATGAAGCACCATCAGAACTAATGAAGCACCACTCTCATGTTTCGCAGGTGGGACGCAGATAGACTCAAAGGCAGGCTGACATAGACCGAATAAAAGAGTCCAGGGAAACAAAGTCCATTCCGTGAAACAGCAAAGTAACCAGCAAGTTCCCAATAAAGGAGTAAGGGGGGGACAAGGAAGACCGCTGGAAAGAAAACGCAGTTATATGCCAACAATAAGGGGATAATTGGTGGGGGTGGGGGGCTGAACTGAATACCAGAAGGCACAAAAACTATCAAAATGAAGCAGGAAGAAGACAAGAAACACAGAGACAACACAGAGTTCTGAAATTAGGAAGGTGAAAATAGGAGAGACAGGATAAACTTACAATTAATGAACAAACTTTGGATCAGAGATGGACCGATCCAATATTACGTATCGTATCGGTCCGATACTGACCTAAATTACTGGATCGGATATCAGAGAGAAATAAAAAAATTAATCCGATCCAATAAATATCACAAAAGCACCTCAGAAAACTTGCGAAATGGTGTAACTCAGCTCATAACCTTAGCACGTGGGAGCTGTATGTGTCACGCAAGTGCAAGACCTGTCGGTGGTTTGGTTGAAGCCTCACTACCAAACCAGCATTTCATCTCCGAGGAAGTTATCCCAGAGAGAAGTAAAGCAAGTGTTTACGTTCATTTCTGAATGTTTCTAAAGCATTCCCACATTAAGCTTAACAACCGATATATGGAGCGACTGCCTCTTCTCTCCCCCTCCCTCTCCTGCTGCTATACTTCAATCATGAAACTGATCAATGATCAGCTGATCGGCTCCCGTCTCTTATTTGTTTTTGATCAACTTTGCGCCAGAACGAGGAAACCAGCTGCTAAACAACAGCAGCACGTTTAAG